AGTTGTTTAGCAGCACTGGGGCGTAATAATCATATAGGCCTGTCTCCAAACAACGGAATATATATCTTTGAAAAGGACTTCTCCGACGTTTAAAGGTACAGCAATGCAACATTACGAAAAAATCTTTTTTCACTATTTTTCATTTCATGCCTCACAGAATATATAATTTGATGGCCGAGAGTTTTTAATATCGTTCTAACTTAGTCGAATTAAGTCAAAATGAGCTGAAATTTGTGTCATGATGCTTATAAACATACACTCATTCATTTACAACCTCCAAAACATGAATTCTGAGCGAAATTAAACATTCCCGCCCATGGGCCAACATAATTTTCGCCCATGGGCGAGATATTTTAATATCGCCCCAAGTTAGTCGAATTAAGTCAAAATGAGTTGAATTTTGTGTCTTGATGCTTATAACTACACTCATTCATTTACAACCTCCAAAACATGAATTCTGAGCGAAATTAAACATTCTCGCCCATGGGCGAGCGAGCGAGTTTAAATCTAAAGTTTTCGCCAACATTTTTTTTCATTTTTTCATCCTTGGCATATATTCATAACAACTGCATGTTTAATTTGGTCAAATCACTTGTCAGAAAGTCGCCATCAGTAACATTTGAAACAGATACAAAATATTCATTTAATGTTTGAGCTTTATCCAAATCTGTAAAAACTGAAGGTATCCCAGAATCATCTGTGACAAGAAGGGGAGTAGGCCCCGATGAAGTACTAACCACCTGATTGAGTAGACAGAGGTGATAAATAGTTATCAAAATTAGAATAAAAGTTTCCATTGGCTATTCTTTTCAGATTATTTACTTTATTCCTTTGCTTTTTGTATTTAAATAGCTCAGAAGCATTCAGAGATCGAAATGCTTTTTCCTTAGACGTTCTCATTTCTTTTAAGCATGTGACGAGGGGCGTTGAAAAGTAGTCAAACTAACTATATTCTCGATGTCCAATGTTTGAAAAGAAGCTTCCATTTTATTTTGAAGGAATCATTAGCAAAGTCATATCCAAAATTTCATGTGGGTAATGTGGTTAACGAGATATTAGTCATCACAACATTTGGGTATTATGTTTCTAGCAAATTTGCAGAAAATGGATTACGATCTCCATTTGGTATCTAGTAATAGTAATAGTCCGCTTATATGGCGCTCACATCCAGGCACATTGCCTGCTCACGGCGCTACGTACATTACTATCCCCGATCACAGGACACTATCGTAGTTTCCGATACTTTTTCAACTCCCTGGGGACTGTACAGCCATGCTGCATGTTAGGCGCAATGAACTAAACACTCACATTGCCAGCACATACTCACGGGTACCCATTTTACAGCTAAGGTGAACTGAGACAGTGTATATCTAAGTATCATGTCCAGGGATACTACGCAATGTGCCCATCTCGGGAACCGAACCTCGGTGCCTCCTCGAAACAGGGCCTTCAGCGTGATAGGCAGACGCCTTACAACTGCAGTATTGCGCTATCTCTTGATAATGGTATACCTTCAGATAGTATCATATAAAAATATGTTCAGTATAGTATTGGATGACTTCCCGTCATCATCAACATTCAAATATTTGGATTGCTTGATTTTACATTTAGACGGGGACTGTTGTTTTTAGGACAACCTCATTTTAAATTTTCAAAAACATTGTGTCCAGATATACAACATATTGAGAGCTGACACTTGTGTGACCATTCAGTATTTAGTTTGAACCACTGACACCATGTATGAATAAGTGAAAACTTTTAGGATGTGTTATATCCTTATGATGACGTCAACTGAAAGGGGGTGGGTACTGTCTCCAAAACAAGCCCTTTCAGTAACATGAAGGGGGAGGCACTTGGACAAGCGATTATAGTTTAAATTTGCTTTTTTGTGCAGTTTAATATCTATGTTTGACTTTTACCAACATACAACATGTGTTTTGCATATTTTGTTTCAATTGGTGTAGGGGGATTCCCGCCAATACAACTTGATATAAAATTGGATCAAAATCTATTAATTCTTTCGCGGCTACCAAGCTTGGCATGTGCAAAACTGTTACACCTTCGCTGTGACCTTTAAAATAACCCCAAGGTCACTAAATTCAAGTGGTGTCGGTGAATCTTGCAAATATACCTTGGTACCAAATTTGAACAAAATCCATGATTTCTTTCTTGAGTTATCGCCCTAACAAGCTTATTTGATGTATGAAATGCAACGAAAAACAAACGCCCGCCAATTTACGAGTGATTAAAACTGTTATTACAATTTACGTAAATATTTATTACATTTTACCGCAACGAAAATTATTACAATTTACGTCAATTTTTATTACAATTTGCGTATTACAATTTACGTCAATTTTTATTACAATTTACGTTTTTATTACAATTTACGTCAAGTTTATTACAATTTGCTGCAAGTATTACAATTTGCGTTTTTATTACAATTTACGTAGTAACAAGCGTCTCTCTGTCCAACATCAGACTGTTGCCAGAAGATATTCATTGATGTCATCAAATGCCTTTAATTTAAATTAAGAAAAAACAGAGTCCATTCTTTTGGGACAGGTTGGAAAACGCAAGCAGTGTGACATTACTAGTGTGTGTGTCTGTGGAGCAACCATTCCTCTTTCTTCCACTGTCAACGATCTGGATGTTGTCATCGATCAAGATCTAAGTATGACAGTACACGTCAAGTATGTTACTAAAACTTGCAACTTCCATCTCAGCAATATCAGTAAGGCCAGACCGTTCTTACCAAAGGCGCCGCAAAAACTCTCTGCCTCAGCCTGGTCACATCTCGTATGGACTACTGTAACAGCCATTTGGCCGGATCTCCATCTTGTGTCACTGACCAACTCCAATACAGAATACAGAATCCATACAGAATTTAGCTGCTCGCATTACCTCCCAGATCACCAGAAAAAAAGCACATCACACCAACTCTAAAGGACCTTCATTGGCTGCCCGTGAAACAAAGAATCTCCTTCAAACTATTCTGTCTCGCATACCAGTGCATGACTAACACGGCTCCAGTCTAACTCTCAGATCTTCTTCAGGCTTAGGCACCATCTAGATCTCTCAGATCAGGGAATCAACACCTTCTTGTTATCCCCAAAGTCAAACAAGCTAAATATGGACACCGTGTCTTCTCCTATCCTGCTGATAATTTTTTTCTCCCCACATTTATTTGTATATCTTTTTTTTCAAAGATTATAACCAGTTTAGAAAGTTATTCGATCTGATGACTTGAAAATTATTTCAAGGGATTTAATTGAGAGAGTGTGAAGCAGAAAATAGTGTTTTCTCCCCATCATTTCATTATATTCTTTATCTATTTTCAAAGAACTCTGCTTTTAGAAGAAAAACTTCAAGCGTAATAATAAGAAATTGATAAATCATAATCTGATATTGACATACTACATTTTGAAATAAGGACTGCTCCCTTATTGACAGTCTCACCAAACAAAAATAAACCTATCTTTTTTGTTTCAAACATAACTGTTCTTTAATAACTTGATTTACATTGAGTTGATGAAATGAAGCGATCATATACTTACAAAATGCACAAAACCTACATCTGCTTAAATTCGTCTGCTAGCTGCCATTTTGAGAGAGGGAATGTTCATTTTTTATATTTTTTGAATTTAAAAAATATATTTGGGGGTTTTCTTTTAATAAAATATTTCATAAAATAGAGAACCACACTTGGATAAAGTTAATAACCTCAAACTTTAAATATTCAACTCTCCCATTATGACCTTCTGACCTTTTAGCAACCTTTTCCACAACCACTTTGTACAGTGCTCAAAAGTACTATTTGCACCATATTTCAACTTGGAACCAAACATTTTATTTAACTAGCATGTCTGATGAATACAAAAACACAATGTCTTGCTTTCATCACAAAACTTCCACGGGACTTGAATGCTGTACCCATCCTACCAGACTATTATTAAAGTGTCACATGATATGTTACAGGTAAAACAACATGTTAAATGCCTAGATAACACATATCACCCAGCCATAACATTGGCTTATGAGACACTACTAAAACAAATTAACTACAAAAATGTACAATATACAATCTGGACGGTTGTGTTCATGACACACATAAAATAGTACATAGGTAAAATATATTAAGAATGTAACTGCCTTCTCCGGAACATATCGTTAATAGTATCATCTAAAAGTTTAAGAACCTTGATTTCAGCAGTTTTCATTACCATGATAAATTTAAAATGATCACTATCATCTGGGCTAAAACTAAATTCATCTATAAAGTTACATTTCAAATCATGGTAAAAAGCACAATTTAAAAGAAAATGGGCTTCGGACTTTACAGAATCACAAAAGGGGCTTAATCTTTGATTTATAGGGTGTTGGGGGTTTGCTATAACGTCCAATTTCAATATTAAGAGGTAAGATACCACAGCGTAATTTACATAGATTACTACGCCTATGTCTGGACATGATATATCTTACATATAGTTCTGGTCTACAATCTTTTTTAAACAACTTGTAAGTGCGTAACTTATTACCGTTAGCCTTGCCTACGTCGTCCGAAAGCTCTGAAAACCACTTGTCCTCATCTAATCTACATCAATGTTGTTTAACGACTGATATGCTAGAATTGATACCAAATAAAGTATCATACAACAGCAACTGTCTACCCAATTTAACAAGGTTAAAAACAAAGGAACATATTCGATGCATGGACCACTTAAACACCTTATTGGTAAGCCTGTCCTCTGACATATGATACAACTTGACAAAACAACGAAAACTCTCTATCCGCCGTTTAGTGAGACACGTCCTCCAACCAAGTTCACCCTGAACAGCACAGTTAGACGTATTACGAGGTACACCCAGGAAGAAACGACCAGCTCTGTATTGTATGTTCCTTATTTCACGATGTCGGTATAGCTGTTACCTAAAGGGATTTTCAGTCAATATGCTTTGTGTACGTTGTATGCACACTATTCATCCGTACTACGCAGTCGAAAACAAGTCACAACAAGGAAGTGTGTTTGGGTAATGCGTGTGTATACATGTATTCACGAACATTCTACATCAACTGGTCAGAAACATGACATGCTTATACTATTTAATATTTGGAATTGTGTGCTTTCTTCCCCAGATGGCTGCACAAGGTAAGCGTGATATAATTTTTTAATATGTTTTTTAATTTCCAAAGTAAAAGCCACTAATTTCGGTTTTCTTTATGATTATGTCCTGAAACGATATGGAAAATAAAATGTCTCCCAGCATCAGTATACCTGAAGTGTGCATTTCGATGTATTGCACTTGCCAAATACCCACCATTTTATGCTAATTGCTTTACATTAGTGAATGCGCCAAACCCTATTACCTGTTCAGAAATGTCAGTATAAAATGTAGAGGTAGAGTCAGAGTAGACGTATGGGTATGGTGCATGTATATCTTGGTGTATTTGAAGATGATGCTTAAATGTGCTATGTTGGCTCAGAAAATATGTTCATTTCAGAGCAAATAGGTCAGGGGATTTGTTGAATTCTCATCCATGTAGTTAAAGCTTAATACCAGTTATAAATCCCCCCCCACACACACACACACACACGCAAACCCACACACACATACATATATACTAAAGAAACTGTGCATTGTCAAAATATTATCCCAGTTGATAAGTACGATAACAATGTCAAAGGTACATGTAAACTTTAATGGAGGGATCATGACACCATAACAAGTAGGGAGAATTTCAATTGAAAAGTCAATCACAATGACGTCACGAGTCCACAAGCGGGACAGGGGTCAAACGACCATGTCACAAGCTCAATAACGGGTATGTCCACCATCGGCATTGAGAACAGCAGTGCATCGACAACGCATAGAGCCTATCAAACGTGCAAGGAAGGCTTGTGGGATGTCACACCAGATTCTCTCACGTTGTGTTGCAAGGTCAAGGACGTTACCTGGCGGATGAGGAAGACGGCGTAGACGTCGATCCATCTCGTCCCAAACATGCTCTATCGGTGAATTTGCAGGCCAAGGCAGTAAGTCAACGTTGTGGTGTTGCAAGAAATCCATAGCAACCCTTGCCGTATAAGGGCGGGCATTGTCCTCTTGGAATGTTCACCCAGGGCCTTGACGTTGCAGAAAAGGAATTGTCGACGAATCTGATCCCTGTAGCCCCAAACCAGTTAAGTTGCCCTGAACAATCACCAAAGGAGTTCTTTGGCGTGCTGTTATTCGACATAGGCACGTTGACGTCCATCACTATGGGAAATGTTAAACCTGGACTCATCTGTAAAAACAACATTTCTCCACCAAAACAAGGGTCTGCAGACATGATTTCGGCACCACATTCGGCGAGCTTGTCGATGACGTTGTGTCAGGATAGGCCGTATGGCGGGACGTCGTGGTCTGATCCCGTGATGACGTAAACGTTGTCGAACTGTGTTGGGGTGGATACGGCGAAGTCCTGGGATGGTTCGGGCAGTCATCACTGCAGTCTGAAACCTGTGGCGAAGATGGGTCACCCTTATCCATCTGTCCTGTCTTGGCGTTGTTACACGTAGACGTCCAGAACGTGGCCGATCGATGACGTCTTTTGTGTTCTGGTAGCGTCTCACCAGTGCAGAAATGGTGTTCCGGTGGCAGTGGAAATGTGCAGCCACTTGTCGTTGAGACATTCCCCCACGGACCATCCCAATGGCCTCGTGACGTTGTGCAGACGTGAGCCTTGGCATGCTATGCGTTTCAATAGCCGTTTAATTTTTTGAACGATCGCAAGGGCAGGGGTTGAGCTTTCCAAAGTGACAGTATTGTGTGGCATTCATTTGCTCTGTTTCTCCTTCCCGGAATGCACGTGCAACAACGTATTGCACGTCTCTGCTGACGAACCCACTGACGTCACGGAACGTGGCACGCATGCATGCATGTTGGATACATGTCACTAATCTCTGAGTTTAAATCCTTATGTGTCTACACAGGTTTAATAAATTTAGATTTTAAATTTGTGTATGCACAGTTCTCTATGTGCCTAGTATATATACATATGTATGTATGCATGTATGAATGTGTGTGTGTGTGTGTATGTGTGCGTGTGTGTGTGTGTGTGTGTGTGTGTGTGTGTGTGTTTACTCGCTGAACCTTATGGTATAGATGGTTATGTGCACATTGGGTTGAGGTCGTGAGGGTACAAGAAAGCGTTTTGTAAGATAGATACATTGACATCTGTCAGACGTATATGAAATTCCTTGTCAGCTCCTTACTTTATGGAATAAACGGAGATTAAGATGCCAAATTCTACTCACACTATAACATTCAAACCTGCACCACAGTTGCGTGTCACGAGGCAGTGCTTTTCATTGTAAAAAAGTGTCGTGACTGTGTTACATAATAATTGTTGTTCTCAGTAGAGGGCAGTGGTGTGCATGTTACTGTATTTAGACTGAGAATAAAGGCTGGTTTGGAAGCTTCTAGAGCAGACGGAAATATCCCAGCGCAGTCGGACCCAGCGTATTACAGACACACCCAGAACAGAACATTCAAATGGACACGAAGACCCATGTGACCTTTACGAAATCCTTATAGATCTGATCTGCGATCTGAGACCGCATGAAAAGTGGATTAGAGTTAGTCTCTACTCTATATCCATGAAGGCTAGGTCGTTTATTGAAAAGAATAATACTTTATGGATAACAACTTTGATAACAACACTATAACATTGAAACCTACTCCACAGTTTAAAGGAAAATTGTTCCGTGTCATGAGGCAGTGCTTTTCATTGTACAACAGTGTTGTGACTGTGTTACATAATGATTGTTGTTCTCAGTAGAGGGTAGTGGTGTGCATGAATTCTCATCCATGTGGATAAAGCTTCATACCAGATATAAGATATCTATCATTAATAATACACACACATACACATATATATATATATATGAATGAATGTGTGTGTGTGTGTGTGTGTGTGCGCATTTACTCATTGAACACTATGGTACAGATGGTTATGTGCACAACATCTTCAGTCTTTATCATTTGAACTTGACAAATCTCCATAACCATAAAATCTAATTTTGAGTTATCATTGGGTTGAAGTCGAGGGTACAAGAAAGCGTTTTGAAAGATAGATACATTGACATCTGTCAGAACATCCAGAATAGGACATGCAAATGGACACGAATACCCATGCGACCTTATGAACTCCTTATAGATCGGATCTGCGATCTGAGACCGCATGAAAAGTGGATTAGATTTAGTCTCTACTTATATCCATGAAGGCAAAGTCGTTTATAGAAAAGTATAATACTTTATGGATAACAACTTCTTCATTTATTATGATGTGGCGTTTCGGTATAGCTTCTTATACCGTTGTAAAGCAAGAGTAAAGTAATACAGCACAGAACCGACTTATATGCATGTAACAGGGATTAAGTAAGACAACATGAGGGAGTACACCAGCAATGGAATAGGAATTAATACAATAACAAAGGGAGGAAGCCAATGTTGATGCGGAACAAGGTGTACATAGCAGATGGGATTAATTGGCAATGGTGGCTGGAGTGCTCTGTTTTGTTGTTTTTATCAGTTCATTGTAGGCGGATGGAATGAGGTATCCTTGGTCTCTGTTGATTGAGGGCTTGTGTCGGCGGATTTGAACTGCTTCGCCAGTTTTCTTTTGGTGAAGTCCTTGAGGGTTTTTATAAAATGTCCACATTGTCCCATTCGATGTTGTGATTAGGACAGTTGATTATGTGTTCTGAGATAGCTGATTTACGGTTTGACTTTTTGGTTGATGCTAGGTGTTCTTACTTCTGAGGTTTATGGGGCGGAGGTATCCCCAACATAGGCCCTCACCACAGGGCCTAAAATATCACAGATGTCATTACCGATGAAATCGGATAGAGTTCCACGTTCGAGCATTGAAGTCGCCACCAATAATCACATGCACATCTTTACTTATAGACCCGAGTACTTCAACAAGTGAGTTATAGAATAGTGTGATACCACACTTAATCTGGCATATAGGACATACGCTGGCATATAGGACGTCTTTATCCAGTGAAAAGGCGGTCTTGTCAAATAACAAGAATTTAGCATTCTCCGTGAATTTGGAAGTTTTCACATAAATATATATATTTAGTGACTTTTTCACAAGAACAGTTATACCTCCTGGCCGTCTTCCTCTAAAAGCAGTTTTAAGAGCGTTGATACTGTAAGATATGTGTTTATGGAAAATATGGTCATAAACATAATCAAGAGTCCATGTTTCTAGAAGTCCAATAATATCTGAGTCAGTGATGTAGCCTTATGTGCTTGTGGAAGGTGTGTCCACATGAGAGGTGTCCGCTGCCGTGGAGCTAGATGTGCCTGCGTTTGAGGTGTCCGTGTTCTCCGTTACTACCAGCTCACCGTTCCTGAAGTAGCCCTGTTTGTTCTGTGCTCATAGATCTTGAAGTATTTTCCTCTGTCTGTGAGTCAGGTCACTGGCGATCCCATAGCCTTTACTGCTCAGTCCTTTCTGGAGTCCCAGTGGACGTACATATTTTGCAGGCCGAGGTTAAGGATTTGATTATGATTGGCCTGGTACGTTTACCTTGTGATGACCGTCGTCCGATCCTAGGAGCTTCAGCAATTTCCTGTGGAGACAGCCGTACACTGTCCGAATTCAAACAATCATTCTGAATCTCACATGACAAGGCTCTCAAATCACTGCGAAGTTCTTCAGGTGTTTCGACACACCATACAGCAAAACGTTGTTCCGCCTCTACTATATTGTTCTAGTTTTAACTTCATTTTGCAAGTCTGTCACATCACTCTGACCAGATCCACTCTGATGGGAGGAATTACATTTTAGTTTTTGTCCAAACGGTCACTAACAGCTTCTACATCTAAACGGAGGACAGATTGTTCCCCCTGTATATCCCGAATGTTACGTTTTATGTCGTCTACAGTACTACTTAGTTTCCTAGTGTGCGTTACTAGTTACTTATTTGTAAATAGATAAATATTTTATGATTGGAAGTTTAAATTAATAACTCAGATTGGTAGTGGCTGTACCCTCAAGTGGATGTCAGTCTCAAAACGGCACTATGTATTATCAGTGTCAACTCCCCAGATCATACAACTCTTGCAGCCACTAGGCGCACCGAGTTAATGTGGC